CTCATGGATGCCAGCTGGCCTCAATGCCCCCCTTTCCCAAGTACTGTTCTCTGGGGCCTCCTTTCTAGAGAGGGAGGAAGGAACAGGATACAGTGCTGCAGTCAAAACCAAGCATTTTGTCTCCCCCTACTTCTGCCTCCTGACATATCAGCAGCTCTGTATAATGAAAATCTAAATCATTTGTGTGCACACATAGCAACTGTTTATTTTGCTGTTAGCTTTGAGGACTCAGTGGGGGTTTGATGCATTCAGAGAAGAGATCACCCTGGGAGAGCCTAATCTCATAAGTAGACAAAATGAAAATTGAAGCTGAAAATACACATCTCTACATCTGAAAGAGAGGCCAGTAATAAATATCTTAAGCTCAGGAAATGCTTTTAAACCAGGCACATGGAGCGAAGATGACTCCTTGAAAGGGTCCTGCTTCCTGTCTGCTAAGAAAGCTTTACTGGGCCTGGTAAGAGATTGATTGTGCATTCTAGAAATAACACACCTTTCCCCTCAAACCACCAAGTGGGATACCTTCCATCTTTCACAAAATGCATTCACTAATTTTCTTGAAACGTACCCCCCCACCCCCGCCAACAGGCTGCCTTGGGACCAGATACCATCCTAAAGTTTCTCCACATTACTACTTCTACCAAAAGTGAAAGCCAGACTGAAGAAAGTGTCTTTATCACATTTGAAGGGGCCAGGCTCTCCCTCTCAGGGCACCTTGTTTGACAGTTTATAAAGCCTGTGCTTCTCAGCAGCTTCCCCATCCCCTCATCTTCCTAGGGTTACCCCTCATCCAGCAAAACCCCCATATTGCCACCAATTCTTGCAGAAACCGGAAACCTCTTACCCAGAGGTCAGAGCCTTTCCATCTTCATTTCCTTTCCATCTTGGCAAGGCAGGATATCAGTGCCTGGCAGTCACGAGTAACTGCAAGGGAATGGAGGCAGCTACTCCCCTGGGACCAGGGATAATGAGGGACAACATTAGGGAGAGGACATCGTCTAAGACACACCTGAGTGACTTAACATTGCAGTATACCAAGGGCCACCCCAAGTGTAGAAACTATAACCTTATAGACATGAAGGCATGTGAATTGGGCAGTTACTGCCAATCTGGCATTCTTTCCTGCAAGAATGTCCTGCTAAATGAGCTCTTATGAAATACCCAGCGGATTGTGAGCTTGTCCAGGTGAATAGCCTCCATCCTGTCACCCCTCCAAGAAGATCTATGTGTTTCTAGGAGTCGTAAATGACCCATGGTTCGTCACTCCATCTGTGTACAAAGGTGGGGAGCATGTCAGCCAGCCAGGCATGGGACAAACCACAGTCTCTAAGGTCCTCACTTGACTCATTTGACCCTCCACCTGAACCAGGGGCTCTACTTCCTCTCTGTTCAACAGCAGCCAGAGGAGGCAGGCTTAGCTTTCAAGAGACTACTCCAGGCCATAGGGGGGAAAAAAACCCAGGCTGGTCAGACATCTACACAAAAACATGGCTTGACAGCAAAGAAACCAGACACAGGCAGAAAGGAATTTAAATTCAGATTGAACAAGGGGCTGGACCCCTCTTTTAGTATAAGCCCCTGAAGGCAGCTGATTTCAAGAGTGAGAGCCTGAAGGCCTGGTTTCCTCACAGGAAAAAAAAAAAATCCCTTTTAAATCCTATCTCCTTTCCCTGGAAAAAGAGAGGAAACATTCCAACTAACTAGTACCTTATACAAGGTGACAGTCATTTAAAATGGTTCTTAAAATGGAATTAACTCCTTCCTGCTCAGTCCCCTCTTTAGGGTGTAACTACTTCCCAGTGTGTTCGGGTGTCTGGGCCATGTAGGGCAGCAAATTAAGGTTTCCTGGAGAGCAATGTGTAAGGGAATGACTGTCAAGGGCCAAGTACACTCACTGAGTTGTTATTTTCCATTTGCCCCTCATACCCCCCAAGGTTCATTCTCTGCCCTTCTCTGCCATGTTCTGTGCCAAAGCTGACCTCATTGGACTGTAGCAACAGGCTTCCTTACTAGCTGGCATCTGGCTGGGTCTGGATAATGGTGGACGCTGGCAGGAGATCAGAGTGGTAAGAGAGTGAGATATGTAGATTTTCTGCCCCTGTCTCCCTCCCAGCTGTGTTGCATTTAAGCAGAGTCCACATTGTGCTACCTAAAGCCATAGCTCTTAGGCAGCCCCCCTCTTGCACCCGTATAGCTCTTGCTGGGTTCCAATAACACACTTTCTTCCCCTTGCCCTTTCAGGCTTATAGGTGATAACAGCTCCCCATTGTTCATCGTATCTGTATGTCTCACCAGCACTGGCAGGTTCCTTTAATCCTACACATACCACCATAAATGGTCCCTGCATAAAGCTCATCTCAGCTAAGTATACCTTACTGAATATGCCATCTGTTTCCTGCCAAGACCTTGACTTAAAGATTCATACCACTCACACAAATTCCATCCCACAGAATTTCAGGAGGTTCCCTATCCTGAGAAGAGAGATCACCTGATCTGTCTTTTCTAAGGAGAGCGGTCTGCCTTTTCTCAAATGCTTGACATATTCTCCATATCTTGGGGTTTCCTAAATTAAAGTTGCATTATTATTTCTACATAATAAAAATGAGGCTTGAGCTGGTTCCATTTTTGTTTTAACTGTTCTTAGTCATCTTCTTAGTCATCTTTCTTATAATTGCAAACCCAAGTACACTTCTTCCCTTCCACTGAGGTGTGTTCAACTTGCCTTACCTTAAACACGTAATCCAGTTCCACGAGGAAGATCATTCTTGACATGAATTCAATCATCACTTCCTTACTGTTATTCCTCTAGTATTCCCCATCTTGGTAATAAGAACCACCCATATCCCAAAGTGGTCATCCCCAAACTTTCACTCACCCTCACCTACACATATCCATTAGACTAAGTACTGTGGGACCTAACCTAATTCCTAAATATCTTCTTTCAAATTCATCCATCTGCTCAAGTCCCACAGTTACTACCTTAGTCAGGACTGGATCTTTTTACACTTGGTTTACTGAAATATCTCTCATTTCTCCCTATTCTCTTTCATTCTCCTCACTGTGGTCAAACTGATTTTTGACAAAAACACAAATATGTTCATGTCACTTCCCTTTCAGTGGTGATCCTTTAGGATAAAATCCAAACTCTTTATCCTGGAGTAGAAAGCCTCAGGGAATCTGGGTAGTATCTCCCTTTTCAGCTTCATTTTTGCCACCTCCCTTTTTACAACCCTATTCATTGCTTTCATGATGGTGCCATATTCTTCATGTCTTCATGCTCCCGCTCCTTTTTCTAGTACACTCTTGCTTTTGCTGACTAATTGCCCCTACTCAGTTCTCAGACTTATCTTAGGCATCATCTTTTCTATGAAGTTTTCTCATGCATCTCTTCACCCCAAGTTGGCTTAATAGCCTCTCTGCGTGATCCTTTAGCCCCCTCTTCTTCACTTACTAGCACTTAACACACTGGCAATTATTTATCTACATGTCTATCAATGCCCACCACTTTCTCTTTTAGGGTGAGTGTTTCTTCTTCCTTTTATCCACAGCAGTTAGCACAGAATGTGGCATATAGTAGGATACTCAAGAGATGTGTCCTGAATGAGTGACTAGACGAATGAATGAGCTCATGAAGTATATGCTTGAATTCACTTACCTACATAAGGTCAATATCAGGACCCTGACCCTTCTTGAAATGGCATGTAACTAATGAGGCCAGTTTTGGCCATTTCTCCCCTTCCAGGTAGGGCTGTACCCAAACCACTCTGGAGTGATTAAGAATAGAAACAGATGAGCTGGCCTTTTGAGTCACAGGCTCTCCCTAATCCCTAAAGTGATAGTTATGGAACAATAGAGCTGGCCTGAATTAATTGGGGTGGGGAAGACAGATTCTGTCCCTGGGAGACACCAAGTTCTTCTACACCATCCATCAGACTTGAGCACAGATGGGATGGAGGCCAGCCCTAAAAATACATCAGCCCTAGGTGACACCAAAGCTGTGTTCTTTCATGTCTAATTCACCCCAGATGGAGGGGAAAGCATTTGATGAGCAGTGTTTGAAACAGGCAGAGAAATTTATATCATGCTAGGAATGACTATAGGGGCAAAAGACCACTGTGAATTTCCTAGTCAATAAAAATGTACTCTACTAGAAATTTTAATAAGGAGCCAGCAGAAACAACCTTGTCATCATCATTGTGAATTCATGTTTATTGAATGTACAACAAATGCTAGTCTCTGCTCAGAACATTGGATGAACACCATTTCTGTATCTATAAGGGACTAGGGAATACTTGCCACTATTTTGATGCCAGTCACCCAGCCAGAACACAAAATGAACTTTTATGAATATTCTAAAGCATAATAAGGAAGGGGTCTTAGACTATATGCAGTCATCCTTGATTAGTATTTTCCCCATTGGGAGTTGCCCTCCCCACAAGCTTCCCCACAACTGGAAAGGAAGAGAAGCAGGAGAAAATAGGAAGAGTCAAGGTATAGTCCTGAGAAAGTCACAAAAATTTGAGCAGTGGCACTCCATAGATATTTGGAGATGGCAATAAATACCAGGGGGAGGGCCATATACATAGAGTGGTAAGAACCAGCCCAGTCCATCTCCTGGTCCTTCCTTGCATATGTGTTCTTATACAACATTTAAATGATAGACAGGAGCTGTAAATCTCTGAAGATCTGCTTGATTGTGAAGTTACCTTTCAGGTGAGGTCTTCTTCTTACTTTGCACAAAGGAACACTTTGGGACTTGAGGGCTAGTGGGTACTCACCAGCTGGGTAAATGTTTGAGAGAATCATTGTTCTTGATGAATTTTGTAAATAGCCACTGACCCAATGGCTTAAGGGAAAGTGAAAATGAATGGTGATTTAAAAAGCATGCAAACATGAGGCTACACTACTAGCAGGTGGGTAGCAAGTGGCCTAGTCTTAGTGTCTCTTTTCAAGGCCCTTTTCCCTTCTCTTTCCCACCCTCTCCAATCTTCTGCCAAAACTCAAGGTTTGAGGCAGTGGTCAAGTTCCATGGAGTAAGAATTGGTGTTCCTCATGATGCTCTCTGCCAACATGACAGGCCTGGCGTTTCTTCCAGCAAAGCAAGAGAGCCAGGTGCAGATCAACATGGCTGCAGCTGCTCCACCTCCAGCACAGTAATAGGCCCAGCCAAGCCGACAGGTACCTGTAGAAATAGGGACAGAGACATGAGGATTGGGTTGTCTTCTCATACGTTCTCCTTGGGGTGTTAGAGTTAATGTGAATGTGTGAGTGCAACTGGGCTTCCTGTTTCCTCCTTTCCTCTTTTGCTGATGGCTGGTATTTGCTTTAGCAAGAAGTTATAGAATTTTATTCTGTTACAGTAGGAACCTGGGGGTGGTGTGGGTGGTAGTGGCGGTGATGCTGCTAATGAAACTGATGACAAGAACAACTTGATCAAGTGTCAAGAACTATGCTAAACTCCTTAGACATACATCCCATTGATCATTACAATAACTATGTGAGATACGCACTCATTAAGATGAGGTAACTGAGGCACAGGTTAAGTTAATTGTGAAAAATCACACAGCGAGACAGCAATAGAGTCAGGATATAAACCTTGGCTAATCTTGACTCTAAAGCTCTACCTTTTTCTCCACACAGATGTACTGCTGTGCATGGACGATTTCCAAAGAACCGTATTCTGCATCATCAGGAGATTTGACAGGCACAAAAACAAATAAAAATCCCTTGCCCCCTGCTACATGCCTTTATCTTAACCTACCCTTTCAGTATCCAGGGAAGAAATATGCACTGGAATCAAGGCCAAGCTTGTAAGGCGGCAGTTTCAATTTAAAGGGTAATAGGAAAGGTCACCTGCTCAAAAACATCCACTCCACCACCTGCCTTTCTATCAGAGGTAGATTCTGTCCTTTGAAGTATTTATGTTTTCTCAGAGAATTTTCCCTCAGAAAATGTCAATGCCCAAAGAAAGGAGAGCTATTAATTTATAAGGGAACAGAGTAACAACTAATTGTTAAAATCAAGTGCCTAAGCAAACAGGACTCCAGAAATTGGAGTAGATGTCAGTGGTAGAAAATTGTAGAGAGGCCCCAAGAAAAGAGGTAGGCAGTGACCTTCACCTACCTCACAGTCTTGCAGAAAGCTAGTCCTGACTATAGTTGGTCAGTTGGAGATGTCAAGACTGATCTTCTTGACAATTTACTTTTTAATAACCAATTGTTTTTGTTCACATGGTGCTCAGTGAACCTTAATTTTCCTTCTTTTAATTAACTATTTGGCATGTCATATAAAGAGTATAACATGGCCCCAATTTAGGCTGCTTTGCTCCTCCATTCAGGCCAACCTAATTATCCCAAATTTCTCACCTCAGAAATAGTGTTCCTACCACCACCAAATTATTATTCATACTGTCTCTCCTGCCAGAAAGAGCTTCTTCCCTCTTATTCACCAATTCATATCTTCCTGAGAACACTATCCAGGACTTCCAGGAAGCTTTTCCAGATTAACCCCAGTGGGCGCAAGTCACCTCAACCAAGTAGCCCTCCAGGAGTCTGTCTATATATCCCTTACATGGGTGTACCTGTTGGACAAAATTTTGGGAGGAAAATTTGCATATGACATATTTTTATTTGCCCTTTACCCCCTTCCAGACTGTTGGCTCAACAGTGCAGATGTATTTGTTTTTTTCTTAATAATGCCTCCCATGCTCTATCAACAGTGGGTGCTCACTATACACGTTTTAGCCTAACAATACTCCAAATATGGGTACACTTGCATTTTTAATCCTCACCATACAAATCTATAGCTTAAATTTTTTATTAAAGTTATAAAACCAGCTGCACTATTATTCTATTTGTTTCTGGAATGTGCTACAGTCCTTCCCACCATAAGGCCTATGCATATTCTGTTGCTTAAAATGCTTACTGCATATGCACATGTATACAAATATTTCCCACCACTCTCTTTGCTTAGTCAATATTCAGTCATTCTTCTAAGCTCAGCCCAATCATTAATTCCTTAGCGAAGCCTTCCCTGACCTCCGTAATTCAAATTCCTTCATCAAAGGCCCTTATTAGCACTGTGTATATTTCCTTCTATACTTGAATGAAAGAGTGAATCCCTTATCCCCTGCCATGACAAATGTCAACTTTTAGTTCTTCAGCAGAGATAGTACTTTACCAATAGATGGAGGCAGTCATATAACTCCTTGAAATCCCATGGCCCCACCCAAAATTATACTGAGAGCCAGACTACAGTAGATATGGAGACAATGCAATCCTTAGATGGAATGAATTTGAAAGGGAAAATAATTCAACTGTCTACAAAGTGGCCTCAACATGAAAAATAATGGCGGGACTCTGGAAAGAGTAAACTGAAGAATACCATATTGAGGCAAGCAGCCAATAAATTTGTATCCTCCCCCCACCTTGTCACACCTCCTTTTAGACATACACACATACTTACTCACTAAAAGTAGGAGGTTTTATATAATGCTTTGGGTTTCACAAGGTGAAAACTCCAGAGATGGGCAAATCTTCAACTTCTGCCATCCTAGGAGGAAGGTTGAAGGTTTTATTGTACTCAGTTCACAGACAGGAATGTGAGGCTTAGTTGATAGCCCTAGGAACTCTCTCAGAAGCAGAGAGGTAGAGGCAGGGATTTAGACCAAGTCTCTTTACTCTCAGTCTGGTACTCTGTCCTCTCTACTGGTTTCCTCATCCTCCCAAAAGTCATTTTTTTTCTCTTACAGGACCCTTGGCCTATAAGCCCTGAAGAGGGGGCTCCTAAGTTAATTTGTAATAGATTCACCTGAGCTTCTCCCGTAGCCCCTCTAACCAAAATCTCCTGTGCTCACATGGTAGAGTAGACAGGGGCCAGCTCTGGGGTAGACCCACTGTCAGGCAACTTCCTCCTCTCTGGCATGCTCCCAATCTAGTCTAGACAAGGCATCAGAAGTCTCATTCTATTTCTTCAGTTGCTTGTCAGGTCACCCCCCCATTAGAGTAGCAGGGATATTTTTATTAGATACATGCACCCTGGGACTAGGGAAAGACTTGTTTCTGTAAATGAAAGGAATAAATGCATAGCATGGCATTACCCCAAAGCCCTAGGCAGGAAGAAAGCTGACAGACTGGGCAGCTCCAGAGTGAAGAGCTGGCTAGAAGGGCTTCAAAAAACCTTATTGAAGTCATGTCAAAACCAGGTATCACAGGGCTCGGATGCAGCACCAAAGTGCTCCCATGGCCACACCAAATGCAATCAGAGTTTCCTCTCACAGGGACTCCTATTAGGCCACTGAATAGCACCTAAGCTTCAGGCTGCTGCCATACAGGAAGCCAAGGAGAAATAGAGGAAACATATCTTCTATCCCACCCTTTCCCCACAATCTGACCTGTTATTTGCTTGAGGGAATAGAGAGGTTGTATCAGTAGCATTGCAAAAGGGGAGAAAAAAAGCAAACATTTCAAGAACTACATCTTCAAGTTGAGAGCTGCTGTCAGTATTCACCTACTCCACAGAAAGCTTGGACACTGGTCCAATGGCCTACAGAGGAATTTGTGTTTTCTATGGAAGGGTGCAAAATAGGGAGCAGTAACCACCCTTTACCTCCAATCACTTTTTAGTGAAGTCCCATAGACCATCACCAATTCCTAAATCCTACTCCCTAAAGCACTGTTGATTCTTCTATTCATCTAACAAATATTAAGTATCTACCATGTGCCAAACATTTTGAATATACCCTCTCATTTGATTCTCACAATAGCCATGATTATTTTCATTAAAAGCTGAGAAAACAGAGTCTCAGAAAGAAAAATTACTCTGTTGACATACAAGTGTCAGAGTTTAGGTGTGAGTGCCAAGACTGAAAGTCCATGGTAACCTCTTTCAACCATGCCAGGAGAGTGGAGCCAAGGATACAAGTTACTATGGTCCAAGACTTATGGAAAAGTGTGCTTTCAACTAATCAATTCAGCTTTCTGGGTCTCAGTTTCCTTTTCTTTAAGTGAAGGGAATTTTTCTGGACAGATTTTTTTTTTTAAGATTTTATTTATTTGACAGAAAGAGACACAGCGAGAGAGGGAACACAAGCAGGGGGAATGGGAGAGGGCAAAGCAGGCTTCCCGCTGAGCAGGGAGCCCGATGCAGGGCTCGATCCCAGGACCCTGGGATCATGACCTGAGCCGAAGGCAGATGCTTAACTGACTGAGCCACCCAGGTGCCCCTGGACAGATTTTTTTTTAAAGATTTTATTTATTTACTTGAGAGAGAGCAAGAAAGAGAGAGATAGAGAGAACACAGAGGGAGAGGGAGAAGCACACTCCACACTGAGTGGGGAGCCCAATGCAGGGCTCAATCCCAGGACCCTGAGATCATGACCTGAGCCAAAGGTAGATGCTTAACTGACCTAGCCACCCAGGTGCCCCATTGCTGGACATATTTTTAAAAGCCCCTTCCAACTCAAAATTTCCATTCTATTATGAACATGATAAATGTTTTAAGAGACATATAATGGAAATACTATAGGAACATCTAGGAAAAGAATTATTTGTATCTGGGAGAATTCAGAATCAGGTAGTGTTTTACAGAGAAGATAGCATTTCAACTTGACTTTAGCAGTGGGAAGTGGGCATTCTAGGCAGTCAGAGTTGGTGTGAGCAAAGTTATGTAAGTGATAAAGTTGACCACATGTTTCAGAAACAGTACTCCATTCAGTTGCTTCAGAAAAGGAGCTATAGTTGGCAAATAATAAGCTGAATATAGACCAGGAGGACCCATGAAATCTGGCATCTTTCCCACAAGCAATGGGGAACAATGGAAATTTTCTGACCAGAGGATGACATGATAGAAGAAGGTTTCTCAGCCTTGGCACTATAGATATTTTGGGCAAAAAAAAAAAAAAATCTTTGATGTATGGGAGTGAGGTGAGGTGGAGTGGGAGGGTTGTCTGGTGTATTGTAGCACCCTGGCCTCTACCTACTAGATGTCTGCAACTTATCCACCGCCACCCCCCTCCCCGAGTTGTGGAAACCAAAAATATCAACAGACATTGTCAAGCATCCCTGGGAGTGGGGGTGGAGTGGATTGCTTCCCATTAAGAATGACTGAGTTAGTTGAGTGAAATAAGTCAAACAGAGAAAGACATGTATCATATGATCTCACTGATATGAGGAATTCTTAATC